CTTTTTTTTTTTTTTTTTTTTTTTTTAAGGGACAGGCAGTGGGACACTGAGAAGCACAATGAACAGACATAGAAAGCAGTTTACTTGTGGAGGACGGTTAGGCGGTGTGCTTATGAGAGGTGCTGGGCCCATGGCAGAGGCTGCATTCAAGCTCCTTTCCCTTTCGTCCTGGTAAATTCGATCTCGTTCAGCTTCTGGCAGCTGCAAGAAGTTCTGCATAGCCCGAAGGTTTACCAGTAAGGACTGCGAGGCAGTCTTGGGATCCTCTTCCTTTCGGAGGATTTCTGAAAGCAAGCCCTGTGGGGGTGGGAAGACAGATGCTGAAGAGTTAGCCTGTGCGAGCTTCGGAAAAATGTGCTCTGCAAAGCCATTCTTAATCTTTCCTTTTTTCCTTTCCACTGAGTTTAAAACATCCAGTCAAATGTATCTGCTCTGCATAGGAATATATTAATGACAATTTAGGTAGTGGAGAAGAGAGCCTCAATTGTATTCTTAATTTTATTAAGCATCTGCTTTACATACAACATAAACGGAATCTGCTTAATTGGTCTCTTTCCTTTTACTAGCTTAACTTGCCATGAAATCTTTCACAGTCAGACAATCACAAGAAGTTAAGAATAAGTGAAATTCACATAGAGCAATGGCATTAGATTATGTAGTTCTCATGCCAGCTAGACAAAGACTGCAGTTCACTCTAGAGCAATGGAAAGCTACTTCTAGAAACTCAGGCAACGCTTTGAAAGAAAGTGATATTTGAAAACTAATCTCAATGGATTAACAAATAATGCTCCTAAAGTATTGGTTACTGATAAAGATTCATAGCTATTATATGTCAACATTTCCCTCCCAAATGATAAAAAACCCCCATAATCACCACAAAGTGGAAATATATGGAAAATTGAACTAATGGAAGTCCACTATGTGCAATAGGTATTGTTGAAACCATGATCCTTTCAGAATTTTAGTGAAGAAAGGAGAAATTTCCTAGAGAAATGTTTTAGCATTAAGGGCGGCTAAGGTGGGCACAGTTGTGCGAGGAGTTTTGTAGTGGTTGTTTAAAACAGTATGTGGTATGTGGACTGCAATGAGGATGAGGAAACTTTCCTGAGTGCTTGCAGTGCAACTGACAAACTAAGCGAGATGAAGGTCTGTTGGTGCACACACTGCTAGCTTTGCTACCACTGTCAATGTTAGGAAAAGCAATGTCTCTTTTTCCTCCCTAATCCTCTGTCCCATGCTCTGCACATATCTTCTTAATGCAAGATCAGACTGCTTCCAAAAAGGTGTCTGATTTATTAGTGTCTTATGGTCACCTATGTAACCGTTTCATCAAACGGTTCGAACATTTGGGTTCCATCTGCTCAATCCACCAATAGTATCAACCAATGCTTCTGTGTCTTAGTTTTCAAAGTTCATCAGACATATGACATTAGAGACTAAGAAATTTAATGTCTTAAGGTGAGATTTTAGACCAAAGGACAAAAGCAATATAGGGCATGTAAAATAGGAAGGAGATGGAAAGCTCAAGGATAGGCAGGAAGCAGACTGTGGGAGCAGTGATAAGATTTCCAGTCTCTAGCTCAACTGACAACACACTGGTTCCAGTAAAGCCATTTGTGCTAGGGACAGATATTACACACAAAACAGTTTCAGTGATCAGAAACTGGTTTAAATCTGTAAAAGAACATAAGTTCAGTGCACATAAACCAGTTTCAAAATGGCTGAAACTGGTTTAAGATAAACCTGGTTGAATATCGTATCAGACTTAACCAATTTGGGTTAAACCAGTTTATACAATGTCTGTCCCAGACCCCTTCCTGGTTTAAGTTAAACCAGAGTCCTCCAGCATCCCAGATGTTTTATAGCCCTCGGCTGGGCTGCACTGGGCTGTGTTGTCTACTCCAGAGAACAGGGCTGGCCCCACCCCCCTGTTCCCTAGCCAGAGCTCTGACAGAGACTGTAGGCACAGTAGGGTCTGCCTGGCTCCCCCTGCCTGGCCCCCTCCTTTCCACTAAAGTAGGGATCCCACCCCCATATCCTACAGCACAGACTCCAACCCCACAGACTCTAGGCATGTGGTATGCTACCTAATGCTGAGAGAAGTAGAGGGGTGTGTGTGTGCGCACGTGTGTCCAATTTAGCTTTTTAGAGCTAATCAACAGGTCAGCTGGCAATGTCCCTCCTTCCTTGGAAAAAGCTGTTTAAGAAGAGCTTGAATTAAT